CTGAAGAGCAGCCAGACATTCGGATCACTTCTAGGATGGGGATGAAATATTGTGTAAAGAAATAAAGAATCGCCTATTTGAATTCTGCTGAATTCTCTTCTATTGCCACTTTTGACTCAATTGTTTGACTTGAGTGAACGGTGCCTTAAATAATCCAAAAAGGAGAATGAATACAATGCAGATTCCAAGATCTAATGTGAAAATTTAAGACTGCCACTACATATCTGTGATAGCATTATGAAATTCTTAAATGACGAAGATACAAAGGATAACACAGGTCTGCAAATAAAAAGCTGTTTGATTATTTTCATCTAATTTCCATGTATTGTGGTCTGCTGAAAACAAATAAAATATTGAAAAAACTCCTATACGTCATGATTTGCCACAACATGCAAAATTGTCTTCAAATTTATCATTTTTTTTAAAAAAATGGTATTTTTTTAATATTATTGGTTTTTAACCAAATTTAAAGTCCAAATTACTATTAATTAATTCACATAAGTGCATCTAAGATATAAAAGGCCAAAAAAACCTTAAAGGGCTTGTCCGAGTTATGTAAAAAAAAAAAAAAGCACTGACCGGAGATGCTGCTATCTGCCCTGTGTCTCCCTTCCACTGGATTCTTCAAGAAAGATTAACCCCTTCTACCATTAGAAGCACAGACTTAAAACTTGCTTAGCTTACGTATATATTGCTGACCATCAGATTTACAGTGCTTTTTTTTTTTTTTACACAACTCGGACAAACCCTTTAAGGTTTTTTTGGCCTTTTATATCTTAGATGCACTTATGTGAATTAATTAATAGTAATTTGGACTTTAAATTTTTAAAAATTTGAAGACAATTTTGCATGTTGTGGCAAATCATGACGTATAGGAGTTTTTTCAATATTTTATTTGTTTTCAGCACACCAAAATACTTGGAAATTAGATGAAAATAATCAAACAGCTTTTTAGTCACAGACCTGTGATAATTTTTATGCAATCTTAAATGCTTCATGAGTTATTGTATGTTGTTAGCCCCCAAGTGCTAAATTAAGTAGATTTTTTTCAATCTGATTAATCTGAAAAAACTTATGCTTTTATATTCTTTTGCAATATAAAATTTTCTTCATTCCATAGTTTACGTCAAGGGCAAAAATTATCTTGCAGCTGTACAGATAGCCACCCTCTCTTCAGTCATAATCGAAAAAATGCACAATTTCCATCCCCAGCCAAAAGTAAGTTCTTATAATTTGGATCCAGTCTTTTTTTAAAATTAAGATTGGATTCACTGAAACTAATGGAACTAATTTTTGGAAATTGATGAATCTACTACATTAGATTTGTGAACCCAAACAAAAGTTGAATTAACTTTGACAAAAATGTTTTACTTATCAATAAAAAGACACAAAAAATAACAAAATTACTAAGCCAATTTTCATTAATATCTGAATTTATGCCACAATTTGAAATATTCTGTAGGAAAGGTCAAGAATTACAGTACTTTTTTGTTTGCCTTCCAAAAAACTGGGCTGAGTTAACATGCTTCAGGTCTCATTCATAAGTAATACCACTTAATAAGAATTAGGAAGTACATTTCTCTGTCACAGCATTGACATATATTGGGATAATGGGAATGGCAAATCCTTTGATTGTTTTCTGTTAGTTATTTTTCTTCTGGCATTTGAATGATGTTAGTATTGTTGTTGTTTTATATGAGTACTATATTGGCCTTTACAGGGCAGAATAAAAACACATGTAATGCTTATGAAAGATACATCTAACTTCTAGAATCAGCAGTGACAGCATGTGGCATATGATTAAGATATAGGCTACATGACTTTCACAGAGTGTTTTCATATAGCAAGTTCTGTTCAAAAAATTATTGTGTTGAATCACTGGCAGGAAACTGCTTTTGACTGCTTCTAGATTGCCTTATTTTTTTAATTCTGCAAACAATCTAATAAAAAAACACTGCTGAGTTTTAACATATGTTAACTAAGTAGTTTGTTATGCAGTTAAAGCGATGTATGTATGTATGTATGTATGTATGTATGTATGTATGTATGTATGTATGTACGTACATACATACATATTTATTTATTAGTATGCCACCAGTCTTGCCCAAAGTGACTCTAGGTGGTTCATAGGCATGGAATCAATGCAGAATTTAAAAAAAACAATAAATAAAGGTCTTTAATTGAAAGATTCAATTAAAATAAAACTAAGGATGGAGATAGAGGGAGCAAAGTGTCTCACACCTATTAGGACCCCACGTTCGTTGATATAACTACGTCTTCAAGGCCTTTTGAAAGATCAAAGGGGTAGGATTGGATCTGATCTCGAGGCAAGATGTTCCAAAGAGTGGGAGCCATGGCAGTTAAGGCTCTTCTTCAGCTGAAATTTCTTGGCTCACAAGATCTTTAGCATGCCCCTTCTGCTGAGAGATGTGGGATGGTAATCCAATCAGTTTGAGCCAATTTCTCAAATATGCTGGACCTATGCATGAAGGTTTTAAATATGATAACCAATATGTTGAATTGTACCTGGAAACAAATGGCAGCCAGTTCAGCTGGGTTCTGCACCAAATGAACCTCTGGATTCTTTTCAAGGATGGCTCAATGTAAAATGAATTGCAGTAGTCCACGCGTAAGATGACAGGGACTTGAGTGATTGAGTGCAGATTGCACACCAGATCTCTCTGGGGTAGCACAATTTCATCCAGAACTAAAGAACTTAGACAAGCTGAATATGTGTTCTAATGTCCTGAGCTAGTTATATGGTGCCTTAGTTATTGTATTACAATTATTTTTAATTATATTTATTTGGTTTATAGGAATTTTATCATAATGCTTTTCCATTGTGTATTGCTTGTAAGACGTCCAGAGCTTTAAGCTGGGCATTCAAAATTTATTCCAAACAAAAAAATAAAATTATTTTTCCTTCAAAACTTGCCAGTTATTGTGATCTAGCAAAGAAGCTTCATATACTAAAAATATCTGACTAAATTCAAGAAAAAAAATAACCACGTGGAACTTTCATGGATTTTGAGGGTGTTGTGATCATATATTGTATTATTTGATTGTATCCTTCTATATATTTTTCCAGGAAGTATGTTCAGACTCATCTATAATTTGATAGTTCTAAGCCTAATAACTCCATTCTGCTTAGTGAAAAAACTCTTCTGCTTTATATCAAGGTAAACTGGATCAAGAATCTTTTTGAAGAATAAATTATGACTATCCAGTAGTTCTAATTTTTTAATTTGCATTTATTAGCAATCTTACGCTATTTTTCAAGTCATGTTTTCATCTCTACTATTGGAAATCTCCAAATCACATCAGGAGTAATTTCAGAAGTAATTTGCATTTTTCTTTTAATATTAATAAAAACTATCTAGAATAAATCTGAATATAATTTAAGGATATTGATTTGTATTCCATGCTATTTGATTCTTGGAAGGAAATAGTTTCTTAAAATGTCGGAAACATATAGTATCATTTTCTAAGCAAATAAGACTAAACAGTTAACATTATCACTATAGGTGACTAGTCACCATTTTTTTCTCACTTAAGGATGAATGGATGAGAATCACCTGTTAGTAAAGAAAGGTCTTTTCTTTGAATAGGAATTGTGATTTGCTTTTTTATATTAGAGGAAAGTTTCCATTAATGCTCACCATTATCCTTGTTCTTTCAAGCATGCCAAATCTCATGCTGGAATGCTACCCTAGTACATAGGTGCCATTTCTAACCCAGCTGACCCACTGAACAATTTGTGAATCATGGATATTCAAAGAAAATGATTGCTGAGGCAGGAGGTTATTGTTATTGTTAATGTTATTGTTGTTGTCATCGTCATCATCATTATCATTATTATGTCCTGCATTAAGCACATTGGGCTACAAGTGTATGTCACAGTTTTCAGTCCGCAGCTACAGTTTCCGCATTCTTCCATTTAAGGTTGATGTTCTTCAGATCTTCCTGAAATACATATGTACAAGAAAGTAAGGAAGTACATATATATAAAGAAAGCATTGGGCCACTGCCGCTCACTTAAAAAAAATAGCTGTAAACATCTGTGTGGAATCCAAGGGAAAGGGATGATGGAGAGTCAGCTTTGCTTTTAGCACACCAATTTACTTTTTATGCTGCTTTAAATTATACTTTTGAATGTAAAAAATGAAGTAGGAAGATGATAGTTACAACCAAAAAGATACCATATTAGACACCCTAGTGTTAGTAATATTTTTATAGTCAATTGGATCATTTAAAATACCAGTATAGTTACATAGTTGCCCACTACAAAGAAAAGGCAATAAGCCTGATTACTCAGTATTTATTACTTTGTACAAGAACTTTGCTCTTGAACAGACCTTTGGGAGTTGAAATTCAGTTGCTACAATTGGGAAATAGTCCTGTAAAGAATTCAGGATTCCTTTTTTTAAATTAGCAAATAGTGCGAAGATCTTGTATTAGTGGCATACATCTTCATGAATACACAGAGCCAGATTTTCAAAATAAAGCTATCAGGTGCAGGTCAGAAAAAATCTAGGTAACTACTTGAAAACAGCAAATATATTTTTATACCCAGATATAGTAATCCTTATTATAAAAGTATTAAGTTTATTTCTGATTGAAACATTCAGCTAAAGTAAAATTTAATTTTGGAACAAAAACTAGAACTTGTTGGCATTGGGCAACTGCAAGTTAGCAGAGATTATTTCCAAATATACTATGAGTCCCTTTACCAAGATTTATTCAGAGGATGGAGATGAGTTATAAAATTTCAGTGAATTTAAAATTTCTCATTTAAAATGAATATAAGACCACATACAATAGAATGGGAACTTTTGATTTTCTTTCTGATAGTTTTTCTGTGATGCAGAAAGGCAGAGAACAGATCTTTTCACAGATATCAGTTATCATTGCAGTCATCTGTTTATGTACAGGTAGTCCCTGACTTAAAACAATTTGTTTAGCGACCATTCAAAGTTACAATGACACTGAAAAAAATGACTTATGATCAAATTTCATACAACTATTGTAGCATCTCCCTGGTCATGTGATCAAAATCTGGATGCTTGAAAACTGGCTCATATTTATATTGGTTGCAGTGTCCTGTGGTCCTGTGACCTTTTGCGAGCTTCTGACAAACAAAGTCAATAGATAAACAAGATTCACTGAACCACTGTGTTACTACTAACTTAAAACTGCAGTGATTCATTAACAACTATGGCAAAAACGATTGTAAAATGGGGCAAAATTTACTTAACAAATGTCTCATTTAGCAATGGAAATTTTGGGGTCAGTTTTGGTTGTAAGCTGAGGACTACCTGTAATAGTCTCCTGAATCTTTTTATTCTGGAAAGTCTATCCTACAAAACCAATTAAGTAAACAGAAGATTAAGATAGAATATCACAATGGGATTTTAAGGACATGGAACCAAATAATTGTGAGATTAATTCTTGATTTTTCTTGTTTTCTGTTGCTTTTAGCGGGAGCCATATTCAGAAAATTGTTGTTTGGGTGATCCTATTCCACTTGATTTTTGGTAAGCTTATAATTATGTTATCTTGTATTTAGATTTATACTATACTATATATATATATTATATCATATTATGTTATAACATTATTCTAACATCATATTATCACAATATAAAACACAAATAACAACAAGAAAATAGGGAAATAGGTGAAGCTAGGCAAAATCACATCAGATAACTGTACAATTAGCACAGGAGCCCCTCTGTGTGCTCTCTCCACTTCTCTATATATACCAACGAGACAACAATGAATCTGCATACAGATGGGAGGTTGAACAACTAGCCTCGTGGTGCAACTAGAACAATCTTGAACTAAATACACTCTTAACTATCTACATTGTTCAGGGTAGTAGGATAAAAATAATGAAATATAGGTTCAACTTTATATTTTTACATAATTAATATACACTATTCATTTCTACAATAACAAATTTATCTGATTAGTAAATCCCAAAATCAGATATATATTTTTTGCTTCAAGCAAAAAGTCTAGACGCAGTTTCCAAATAGAAACAAAACTGGACATATTTTTTCTTTAATTAAAGCTAACTCCATCAGTTTTTGTATCCATTCTTCCATTGTTGGGATTGTTGTTTCTTTTCATTGTTTCTGTATAAAGAATTCTCCTGCAGTCAGCATATAACAAAGTTTCACATTTGTTTGCAAATTCTTTGTATAATAGTCAATCAATCATGCTAAAGAGCTGGAAGTTAAACAAGGTTAAAAATATTGATCAAACAATATGAAGAATTAGATACTTTACTCATTTTAGATTTCTGCTGAAATAGGTATATGTGATATAAAAGTTAATTTGCTGCAGAGGAAAGGTGAAACCAACTTTTTTAAATAGAAAGTTTAAAAAACATTTTTAACAGGTGCTACTTACCTGGGACTGCTTGATGGAAACTGGCTGTCTGGAGATGAGTGGAAAGACTGCTCTATTTGTGATTTCATCCAGGTGATTTCCTATCATTGATTTAATTATTCAGCAATCTCTGTTACCAGCAGATCCAAAATGTGTACAGTATTGTATGCATTATAGTTATCTATAACAGGAATTAATTGTAATTCTTACAGTGTATTTTTCTTATGCGTAAGATTGACTCCTAGCAGCTACCTGAAGATTTTGCAGATTCTTAGACAGTAATTCCTAAAAGTGGTTTGATATTCCTGTGTTTCTGGAGATGAGGGAGGGTGACTGATCCAGAGTCACCTTATTGGCTTTCATACCTAAGGCAGGACTAGAACTCAGATTTTCTTGCTTCTAGTCCAGTACCTTCACTATCAGATTGGATCACATGTGATGGGCTTCAGCAGCTGATTTTTTTCAGCCCTCAGAGACCTACCAATCATGTTGTAACTCTGCGTACTAGAAATGCTAAAAATCACTATCGTTTCCCATTATTTTTCAGAAGGCAAACATAACAACTATTAAGATAGCCTTGATGAAAATAAACCAGGGAGACCCTACCCACATCCTAGTAAGAAAGGAGAAAATTGCTTGTATCATATGTGCCTGCACATTGTGTCATTGCTCAAACAACAAAGCCACCATTCCAAAATTGGCCATTCCTGACTTAGAGGCATTAGGCTGCATTACTTAATATTATGGTATTCAAACTTACTACTGCTACTTTTCTGATTCTGTATCTATTTAAAGGCTAGGACGTTAATGCCAGGAAAATTTTTATCAGACTTTTTTTTTTAACTAGATGAGTATTAATGGGAACAAGTAGTCATATCAACCCTATTTAAAAGATGATTTTTCCCCCTAGATCAATTAACATTTGGGAATTTCTTTATAGCAACTTTGAAAACATTCAGTGTGCTGGGAGAATGTTATATGTGGTCTACATTGGCATGAACCATAATTTTGGGTTGTAAAAATGTCCGAACACTTGATTAAAATTTTGAGTATCAGAAAAAAAATTCTTAGCTGATCCTGAATGTCTATAAAGATTCTCAATCATCCAGGTCATGGTTGTCCCAAATGTGCTTTTTCAAGAGACAACTGGACTTTCTGGTTTTTCTTTGAAGATGTTTCATTTCTCATTCAAGCTGAAGAAGTTTCTTGGATGAGAAGTGAAACATCTTCAAAGAAAAACCAGAAAGTCCAATTGCCTCTTGAAAAAGCACCTTTGAGATTAGCTGATCCTGGTTATTAGGAAGATCAACTCCCAAGTACTTGAAAGGATTGCTTCTAGGTCTATATGCGGAACTTGAAAGCCATAAAGTGTCCCCCAAAAAGGCAATAGTGAAGCAGTTTTATGCTGTGGCCAACGTTTGATAAGGAGCTGAACTCAGCATGAAAACTTCATCTCTTGGTAAAGGACTGAATGTATTTATTTTCACCAATTAGCACTTATGCTCTTCCACATAATTAAAATGTTAATATTATATTCAAGTTGGTCCACCTTTGTCCATAATAAACTTAAACAATTATGTAGCGATAGTTGTTCCCAATTCTATTTAAATAGGATTTTGATGTAACAAGGAGTATAAGAAGCTCATCTCAATTACACTTCCTACCTGCAGTTTAAAATAAACAATATGCATATTTTAATTTGGATTTATTTTTTCCTTGATATATAGGGTGGAACCAAAGACCTGAGATCCTTAAAGTAAGAAAACATCAAAATTATTTTATGCTGATAGTTTGCAAGTATCTTTACTTCTGCTTATGGAAGAAAAAACACTTTTACACACAAACCAAGAATGACAGTTGGTTATATTAGCCCCCTACCAATGCAGTGATTCTTAGAAAATAATTGTAACAATGGTTAAGTCATTGCTCTGGTTAAATAATTCCCCCTCCCTTTCTGCCTTATTCTTCATAACAATGCCATTGTGGTACTGCTTAATGGATGGCTTCAGTGTATCATTGGCTTGTTTCCACTGGCTGAAGTTACCTGCTCTAACCTGCCTGTTTAACTATATAACAGCTGGGTGTTTCTGGGGCTCCAATTGGATAAAAAAACAGCATTAAAAACTTGTTTGTTCCTCTGTAAATGGATTCCAAGTTATTCAATGAATAGTGTTAAATTAATATTATATTAAGGCAAGGACAAAGATTAGTCATTCCTCATAATACAATCATATCATGCAATATACAGATGAAATATGTTTTCTAAATTTTCAGAATTGTTATTATTATATTTCATAGTTTCTAAAATGAAATGATTATAGACATAGTAAAGAATATGAAGAATGGTACTATGTATAATTTCCCTTTATTTTTTTTCCTAGGAAAGCTAATTACATTTTACAATCAAAGGCACTTCAAATCCAATTTCTGAAGGAGCAGAAGCAAAACCTGCAAATACAACTTCAAGATCTAAAATTGACTATGAACAATATTGCTTATAACACAGTTGGTCAAATACTAGAAGGATATGCAAGCAAAGGCATTACAAGATGGGTAAGAGATCTCATAAGATTTTATTGATAGAAATCATATTTGTGCCAAACCAATATAACCAAATTCACCAAATCAAATCCTGGCACGCTAGTAAACTTTTTTCATGTCCTTTTACTTAGTCTTTGAGTTTGAACCTACTTAACTGGCAACAGCACAATGAAGTCAGGTAGACTGAAGGCATGATGCATGGACTTTCCTATTCTTATTTGTGTGTAATTTTTTATTACCTGTGCCACTTGTGGAGTAGCAATCCATGTCATAAGTGATGTATGTGATGCAACATTTGTGGAAAGTTGCAATTAATGTTTGGGTTTATTTTTTAAAATCATTTCTGGCACCTTTTCTAAATTTTCCCAAAGTTATAGATGTAGTAATGGATGAATTTTAATTTTATCTTTTATCCATTACAGAATATTGAAAAGATTCTTAAAAAATTAGAACAAAAGTTGGATGAAGATATTGTTCAGATGCCAGATTATGCACTCCAATCTACAGGTATTTGCAACAGCTATTCTCTAAACTACATATCTAGAATTTGGAAATCTCTACTATTCATATATAATACAGCTTTATTTAGTATAAACTATAATATGTATTTCAGTTATTAAATTAAAAGAAATGTTCAAGTATTTCATGTAATCATTGTACTACTTCTTTTAATAATGCAGTTTGTTAGAATGAATATCAATTACAATATCTGAAAAGTTTTCAAAGGCATTTTTGCACATATTTTAATATGCAAGTTCTAAGATGTTTACTATGAAATTGTACAAGTGCATATAAGTTGCAAATTGGTAGCAAGATTTCCAGCTTTCTTACTAAATGCTTATCAGAAAATATTTACATCCAGCTATTGTCTTTTTAGACTTACGGTACTCCTAAAAGAATGAGCTCTAGGAATATCCTGGAGCTTCAGACATGATAGACAAAAAGGAATTGTAGCCCATTAAATATTTGTTTTTTTCTATTTTAGACAGCCATAGCATTTCACTCAGAATAAATTCAAAAGGTAGATGTATTTTAGATGCAGCTAATAATCTTATGTCATCTTGTTGCACTTAAAATGTTTGGTGGCTAGTTGCATATATTTATCTCTACAATGATAAATTAAGCAACAATAATATCAAAATCACCCTAATATGGCTTTTAATGATCTGGATAAATATAAATATGCTTTGCAAATGGTTTATTCCCCAGGGTACATTTTCTGTTATTCTTCATTGATGATAGCAGATGCAGTTCAATTATAGACATACTGTAAAGAAAAAAAGGGAGAATCTCCCATCCCCAATATTATGTATTGAAGGAGTTTGCTAATTGTTTGTTGTACATAAACTGTAACAGAGTTTATATTTTCTGGAGTCTCTTTGCTGTCAAATGGCATTAGTCTTGTATGCCTGAATTTTTTTCATATAATATTCTTTAAAATAGATAAATGATGAGATATTAAATTGTAGTGCAATGTTTCTAGGTGCCAGTATTGTTCAGACCAGAACCACTAGAAGCTACCACTATCCTGATGGAAACTATTCCTGGATGTCATTCATTATATTCCCTTTTGTGAAATCACCAGATGTAATTCTTCAGGTATAAATAACCATAAAGTAATGGAAGGCAGTGTTAGGCTTCAGGTTTCAGTGACTGTTAGATGGAGAATAGATTCTTTGAGATTTTACTGGCAACTATGGCTAGAATCTTCAGAGGCAAAGTGATACACTATGCAAACCAAAGGCAACTGCTTGGGCTTCAGTCTTTATAGCCACATGTCTTGAATTCAGATTGGCTTTTACTCAAGCTGCTTTCTGATTGGTTCTTTGTGCCACATTCTGCCTGCCAACTTTGGGATTCAAATTCTTGATTCTTGGTTTATGCTTGGTTCTAGTTTATTTATTTAGCATATGACATGGATTCTAGTTGATTACAGTAGTTTGAACAGCTGAGTCTTGATGATATTCTTAGAAGTTTCTGATTTGCCTGAACATTTATTAAAACTTTCTTTCTTCAGTAGAAGTATTTCAAAGTGTTCCAAGTGACATTCAAAAAATATATAACACCTCATGTAATAAATGTCATTTATTAAACAGAATCTCAAACTATAGAAATGAAAATGAATAATTAAATCTTTTGTAATTGACTGAGTTACAACATGTAAACAGTAGAAAGCTTAAATTATTCAGAATTTTCTCTGTGTTCTCTTTAAGCCCAATTACCACCTTGGAAACTGCTGGTCTTTTCCTGGAAGTCAAGGTGAAACTGTTATCAGATTAGCTAAGGAAATTATTCCAAAAGCTGTTACAATACAACATATATCTAAGAAAATCTCCCCCACAAATGAGATCTCTAGTGCTCCCAAAGATTTTGCTATTTATGTAAGCATCATGTTCTAATTTATCTACTAAATTTAAGTAAAAATTAACTTGCAACTTGCATTCTTATGATTGTTGTTGTTTAGGTCTGAGAGATTGCTATCTAGATCAGATTGGGATCAACTATCAAGAAGATGATTGTATTTGATCAATTCATTAAATATTTTTTATATCTGAACATGCTTTTATATGTATCCCAATATATTTTATATCCCAATATCCCAATTTTATATCCCAATATGGCACACATATTTTTTACACTTTTATTATGTTATTAAACTAATGAACAAACCAACAAACACTAAGTCTTATATTCCGAGACCTTGACAAGCATAGACACAATAATAGAATCATAGAGCTGGGAAATTCCAGGTTCGATCTCCCTCTAATGAGTTTTCACCATTGCTTTTCATCCTGCCCTAAGGTACTATGGAATATCAATTGATCCCCTCTTGCTGAAGTATAATTCTTTGAAAGCTTGTGTTCCTTCATCCTGTTTAACATTATATGAAATCACTCAGGAAATAATTTATAACGTTGGCATGTAGTGCACGTAGCATATTAATAACTTGGTTCGACTGCTTCCTGCCACCTAATTTTAATAAAGAAAGAGATTTCCTAAGCATCACACAAAGTTAATTATGGACTAGATGAAGGAAAACAAATTAAAATCAAATTTAATTCTATGGATTTAACTATCCACTCTAAACTGCTTTAATTCATTAATTAGAGTGAATCTTATAGTGCTTTCTGACATAAAATTGACAAAACAAATTGCAGGAGCTATCACTTTATATTGTTTGATTACAGTCAAATATCAAGCTATCTATTCTAAGAAAGCTAATATGTAAATGGCACAAAATACAATGAAAAAGTCCAATGGTCACTGAAGAGATACTTTGTATGTGTGCACATGTCTTTGCATGGATAGAAACGTAAATGCATATACTGTACTCCAGTGCATTTTGCAAATTGGTCTTTCAAAGGCACTGTATAATTGCTCAGCCTATATTGACATTTTTCGGGATAAAAGAACTATGTATGTTGCTGAAATATGTGAACCAATAATTATATTTTTGCTTCATATTTCTGAGTAGTGTTGATGATAACTGTACAGTTAAATAATTGATTCTTTAATTAGAATATCACTGGGTCATTAATAAATAGCTAGTAAACCATGAACTGTCTCATATTAGTGCCTTAAAAATTCTTGTCCACAATTTAACTACTTACTTATGTAAGATTTGATTCCAAAACAGATAAAATCTTTGTCTTTCTTCTATTATGGAATGCTCTATGATGTCATGATTGTTGGTAATAAATCCTTTCTTTCCAAAAGGGGCTAAAAGCAGAAGAAGAGGAACAAGGAACTTTCCTGGGTCAGTTTACATATGCCATGGATGGATTCTTAATTCAAACATTCCAGTTGAAAGTATGTAGAAGTTGTTGGGAAATTTCCACACAATTTTAATAAACATTGCTGTTGACCAGGGGAACAGTTATAGTAATCCATACAGTTAGCATAACTATATATCATCATGATTTTCCATAAGATAAAAAAGAAAAAGGCTAGGATCTCTGGATAGGTTAATTTCTTTTTACATTAAATCCCAATCTAATGGTAAATGAATGAACAGTAAGATGCCTATGTGAAATGCCAGGTTTTTGCATTTCCCTCTCTTTTGCCTGGGCAGAATAAGGGATTATTAGAATTTTACTTTGGCAGATTCTTATTTATTGGCAGATGAGAACCACCATTGCCACATAGCATCTGTTATGGACCCACATTGTTTATCCATTGGCTTCTGAGTTTAAAATGCTGGTTTTTACTCATAAACGCCTTTATAACTTGGTTTTTAGCTTCAGGATCATCCTTCTCATGGAATCAACTCATTTAGTACATGCCTTCATTAGTACCCCCATAGTTTAAAAAAAACTGCATTTGGAGTGATTGGGGGCAACGATTTACAGACACATTATTTTGTTGCAGTCCCTGGATTACAGAACAGTTGTATCCTAAAGTCAGAACAGTAGCCACACTCACGGTCTTTTGGAAATCAATCTAAACAAAGATTTTCTAGAGAAAATTCAAGAGACGAGTGCACATTCTCTACATTTATTATTATTGTTTTGGTTCTAATGTCTTATTTTACTAATCATAAAAAAGGTAATCGCACATGATTGACTCAATCTTTACAACCTTTTTTGCAGCAGTCGTTAAGCAAACATGGTTATTAAGCACCGTGGTTAGGTCAACCCATTGTTTGCTACAGGTGTTTTTTTGTCAGAAACTAGATGTAAACGGCAGTTTTATGTAAAAATGTAAATTGATGTCAGGAACCTGAAACAGCTATAAATGCAGAGCAGTTTCTCAGTTCCCAAAATGCTGCCATGTGACTATGGGGTGTCAGCTTCAGAACTCCAGGACTGCGCCATAAGTACCTTTTGGGGGTCCATTTTAATTTTGAATGATTGCAAAATGACCAGTTTTAAGTTGAGGGCTACATACATAGGAGTGTATATAGATTACAAAGATATAGAACTAATTCTAATAAATACATACTGTTTTAATTCAGACCATGAACTCTTAATGTAAAATTAGAATCTGTAAAATAAATAACTTAAGAAAAATCTTGGCTTTTATGTGCTGTGTGCATTTTGCTTATTCTAGTGATTTTTTAAATAGTTTATTAAATCAGCTGCATTAAACCAATATTTTAAAATAAAGGCATGATTGATATTCCTTCCAATTATACGGAAGAAGAATGAGAAGGAGAGTGCTTGAGGCAAGTTGTGAATATAGAACTATCCCTATTGTATAAACGTGCTATTTTTATGTTAGTGTTCTGTGCACACTAGACATATTGCAAGAAAAATATATTACCTGTAATTACCTTTAATCACAATAATTAAGCAATGGCAGAATTAAAAAAATCTCTCTCTTTTTCAGAATGAATCTTTTGAATTGATGAGATATATAAAGCTGAAAGTAATAAACAACTGGGGCCATCCTAAGTATACTTGCATATATCGGCTTAGAGTGCATGGAAATCCAAGTGCATCTAAGAATTCTGTAGATGATCATGCTAATAAAGGATGAAGTGATAGCAGCCCAATGATTATTGTAATTTTGCCAAGCTTCTCATTCTAAACTAAAATGAAGAAATGCATTCTAGGAAGCTGATCTATTCTTTTTAGTACATTATAGTATAGCATACACTGTATAGCATATTATGTATAGTATTTTGTAATAGTATTTCTGTTTCTATTTCTATTATGAAATATAGGTAGTCCTCAACTTACAACCACAATTGAGCCTAAATTTTCCATTGCTAAGCAAGATATTTGTTAAATGAATTTTGCCTCATTTTACAACCTTTCTTGCTACAGCTGTTAAGTAAGCTACTGCAGTTAAAGTAGTAACACGATTGTTAAGTGCATGTGGCTTCCCCATTGACTTTGCTTGTCAGAAGCTCGCAAAAGGTAATCACATGACCCCAACTCACTGCAGCCATCATAAATATGAGCTGTTGCAAAGTGCCCAAATTTTGATCATATGACCATAGGGATGCTGCAATGATTGTGTGAAAAATTGTCATGTCATTTTTTTCAGTGCCGTTATAAGTTCAAATAGTCACTACATGAATAGTTGTAAATCTAGAACTATTTGTAGCATAGATTAATAAACAGAATTTTAAATTATTTGTGACTATTGATTGCTTCAGGGAGAAAAATACATGAAAAAATTATCACATAGGAAGACAATAAATTATATTTCTCTGTGGCCACAGACGTTTATTTTATTTTTGAGAAAAGCAACATAGCTAAAGTTGGCAGTGATCTCTATGGCTGCCCATGTAATTATATACAGTCACAGCTCACACACATGTATTGAACAAAGGTTTTGTAATGAGGAAAGAATGTACTCTTGCTGCATGCTAGCTTCCTCATAAAAATCATGATATCCTGGCCTATCAGAGATTTGGGATTGAATAGGAGGAGGTTTGTGAAGCACAGCTGCAGATGAAGATATGATTTTTAAAATCTGGCAAATAAACCCCCTTCTTCTTTCTTGCAATTTGGTTATCAGAAGACTGAAAGCACTTAAGTTTTATGACCATCAGGAAACATGAGTAGCAGCCCAATGCTAAAAAGTCATAATACAATCTTCTGCCAGTTACTATTAAAAGGCAGAATATTAAAAGGCATTTCAGAAAGACCTGCATTAAAAAAGTGGAACAAAGTTCTATGATTTAATTATATCTCATATTAAAATAGCTCAGATAGAATGTTTGATTATTATGAAGTGATCTGATCTGAAAACACTCAGTTTTTTTTTCCTTAGCGATCATTGTTCAATGATCAAATTTACAAGGGTGTTGAACAAAAAGACTTATGACCGGCATCCATACTTAGGACTATTGCAGCACCCATGCAGTCATGTGATTGCGATTAGTTCCTTGGTAACCCATTTGCACTTATGACAATTTGTAAGCACCCTGAGATCATGTGATCAGCATTTGCAATCTTCCCTGATGGCTTCCCAGAAAGCCAACAGGGAAGCTGGTAGGGAAAGTCAGAAGCCACTTCCACTAGGCTGGTTCCCAGGGGCTGGCTGTAAAAGGTCTCTCATGAAATCTAAGTTTGGATTTTGGATGTGGGAAGCCCTCCCACTCAAAGAATGAAATATTTTGGAAATATTTAAAAGGCAGAATATTATATTTCCCTAAAGGAGAAATGGAGAAGCATATTTTTAGGGGCAGAAAGCATCCCCCAGCCATTTTTAATAGCTCGCAACAGATGCCAGCACTTAAGGAAATAAAGAGCTTATTGAAAGAGGAAGCCAACTATCTAGATGGCTTCATTCATAAGCAAAGCAAATACTGCAGACAGAAATCCGTTCAAGACAGGATATTTCAAAACTCCTTGCAGCAAAGTTTGACAGCTAACAAAGGCAGAATGGTAGGATTAGTACAGTAGCTCCTCACCCAAGATCCAGCACAGGACAAAAGCCATTAGCCACAATAGGAATTGCCCAACATCCTTTCAGAACACAAGTCCCTTCATTTCATAACCCCCACCCCACCTCCCCAGCAGCATTTCAGGGCCTGAATAAAAATTCGGGCACTCATCTAATTAACTGTTCAGCTGACCCAGAACTGCACAGTCTTTCTGTATGGTTCTGTTCATCATTAAACTTTCTTTCCAATCAGCCTCTATTTTATTTTATTCCCAGTTGGACCCATCCAAATGGACTTTCCTTCCAACATGAGCATTCTCAAAAACAAAAATGCTGCTTGCCAGAGAGAATATTCTCTGTGTTGGGGTGGAGTCTTTTTGACAAGCAGCACTTTTATTCAGTGTTTCAAATTTTTTATTAGTTTATCAAAATACAAAGGAAAATGAAAATAATGAGAAATTAGAGGAGGAAAAAGGGAAGAGAGACTATAGGGCAAAGGGAGAAAAAGATTTTAAAAAGTGTTTACTTTCTATTCTTTTGCACAGTAGCAGATAACAACATAACAATCTCAACTTTTTACTTTTACACAGTAATATACACTAGCCATTTGTATTACAAGAAATCTAGCTAATCAGCAAAACCAAAATCAAAGTTTCATTTTTTTTCTACCTCAAGTACAAAATCCAGAAGTGGTTTCCAAGTGGAAACAAAATTAAAATGTTATTTGCTTTGAAGCAATCAATTTAACCATCTCTGCTTTTTTCCTTTATAAACACAAAACTACACTAGAGTTTTCTTCAGTTACATATATCAAACTGGTAAAAAATTATCTTGGCACCAATAAACACATTAAATTTAAGCCACTCCCTTCAGCTTATTCTCAAAAATTAAAATCTTTTTCTTCTCTAAAATGTGTATCAATCAATTATAAAAGTCTTTTTTTCTTAAGGGATTTTCAACCTTTTTATCCATGAATAAAAAGTATCAAACTTGAGAGGAGGACTGGGCCAAAGAAAAGAAAGTCAGATGTTTGATTTATTTAAACCATCAGTTCTTAAAACACATTATGTGCTGGAGTCATTGAAAGGTTGGAGAATTTAAATTTCATTTCATCTTAGTCTTTCTGTTGTACAGGATTGTAGTAATTCTGTAGATCACCCTATCCCTTCTTATGAAATTGTAAAGGAAAAGACTAAAATAATATTAAGTGCTTTGAACACTTAAAAGGGGGGTGAGGTCATAAAAAAGATGTAACAAAATCCAGAATACTTTTTAAAGATATAGAGTGGAACATATTCAGGGTAAATAAGGGTATGTTTTATTGCTATGTTAACTATGACCACAGTAGCTGGACAGAGGCAAAGCCAATTTTGATTATTTGCTGTTATCTAGAATATGTGCTTGGTTTTGCACTCCAGATGTAGTAGATGGACTTCAACCAGGCTGGTTTAAGGACAGGCTGCGAGAACGGTTCATGCACACTCACAACTCACAACACTCACAACTGAAATTGCTTGCTATGAGTTTTGTCTGTCTATCCGTCCATCTATCCATCATCGTTCGCTCTCTCTCTCCCTCTTTCTTTGTGTTCTGCCTTTATTATTTTTATTTATTTTTTGTCAAACATGTAAAAGATAACAAGTATTGGTATGAACATAAATTTTTGTAGGTAACTGAAGTGTTGAGGATTCATAATGCTTCTTCCTTGTTTTGTATTTTCCCCACAACAACCCCGTGAATGGGTTGGGCTGAGACACAGCCCAAAATCACGCAGCTGGATTTCATGCCTAAGGTGGGACTAGAATTTAACATCTCCTGGTGATTGCCCAAAATCATCCAGCTGGCTTTTATGCCTAAGGAAGGACTAGAGCTCATCATCTCCAGCTTTCTACTCTGCTGCCTTAACTGCAGACCAAATTGAGTATTTTTGGTGTTGTGACTTAATTTGGCAGGCCCTGAATCTGCCAAGCAGCCCTGTTCTCTCTGGTCTTGTGTGGATGAGTGTAGCAGAGCCAACCTAGGTGACGCCTCCTTCCATGCAGGGTTGTGGAGCTGAATTTTGATCACCAGGATGCTGTGATGATTGTGTGAAAATTGTATAGACTTTATTGTCATTGTACATCATTTATGAGATGGATGGATGGAGTCACAAAGTAATTGTAGGCATAAGCTTAAAAGGACTCCAGAGGATGGTAGAGGACAGGCCTGGAGGAACGTTGTCCATGGGATCACGATGGGTCGGAGACAACTTCGCAACTAACAACAACATCATGTATATAATGAAAATGGCTATAAGTCCTTTATTAAAAGCATTGTAATTTTGAATGGTCACTAAACAAATGGTTGTAAGTGGAGGATTATCTATATAGCTTTTTTCTTGCCACACAACATGAGGGTAGCCACATTGCTTTCCTAACTTGACTAATGCAACCAACCTGGGCTTCCATGTCTTGTTCTTCCTACAGCTGCAGAGCCAAGCTCCCACAGTATTGGGACCCTGACCCACACAGTCTGGCCTTCCCAAGGCCAGTCAGAGGTTTCTGCCTTCAAATCCTCTAAAATCCATTGGCAGTAATGGGTGGTGGGTCTGCTTGAGGTACTTAAAGAGGACAACCTATTCTCCAAAGCACCAGAGGGAAACAATGGATGGAAACTAATCAAAGAAAGCAGTCTGGAATTAAGGAGAAACTTCCTAAAAGTTAGGACAATTAACCACTGGAACACTTTGGTTCAGATGTTGTAGGAGCTTCATCACTGGAGATTTTTAAGAAAACACTAGACAAGTCACTTATCTGAAATAGCATTGGCTCTCCTGCTCGAGCAGAGGTTTGGACTAGAAGATCACCAAGGTCCCTTCCAACTTTATTATGATTAGGTTACGCTCTCTTCGAGCCCCTCCCCTCCCCAGTTGTTGCTACTGTTCACCAGTCGGAAGGGCAAAAACTTTCCTGAAAACTCCTAAACCGGGAGACTGCAATAATCTTTTTTTTCCCTTTTAAAGTGTGTAACATTTCCGGACATGAAGGAAAATGAAACAAAATGGGGGGAGGGATTGCATCGTTGGCACTGGCAGCGACCCTTTGTTCGGTTTCCAGGTTTCACCATAGATCGGGGTCCCCAAACTTGGCAACTTTAAGACTTGTGGACTTCAAGTTAAGTCCACAAGTCTTAAAAGTTGCCAAGTTTGAAGACTCTGCAGTAGATCGAAGAAAATGATAAGAAGAGTTC